CCCCCTCTCTGCAGGCACTATTCGTACAGTTCCAACACAGCAGTCAGTCGGCCCTGCCACCAGACGACCCATGATGTCACTGGCGTTGCATGACCGTATGAAGCCTGCCTGCACGAACCTGCGCTTGAAGTAGTCCAAGTCGTGCGACATGGCCCCGACAATATCATCGTGGTTCCGCCGCAAGGCGTATATCTCGGGGAACCTCAGTCATCCTTTGTTGTTGCGCTTGTACTCACCGATTTGGCGCATACGCACCATAAACAACCTATCCTAACATCACCTCTTTCGAGATCACTTTTCTGTGCGTATTATTCCCCTTAACTTTACTTATCATTCCCTACTAACCTTTCTATTTTTTTTTCATATTATGAACACACCCTGTGATCCAGCTACCAGGTGTAGCCTCGTCTTGCACCTAGCCCCACGGCAGAACCTGTGGGATGAGGCCCCGATCCACACACCTTGCCACTGCATTGTTGGTGAGTGAAGGGAGCAGCTCAATATTTCACGCATGTTTTGTGCATATTTAGAATAATATTACAGTATGTGCAGTGCCCGACAGAGCCTGTCACACGGCTGTGTACGTGTGTAAAAAAGATGTGAAAATTCCTGCATTGTGACTAGGTAGCTATGTAGGCTCCATTCGCTCGCTGATCAAACTTTACAGACTTGCTGTATGCATAGTAGCATGTAAGTACATTTGTACCACCTGTAAGAATGTGGCAGTAAAAAAAGCTAAATTGTTACTGAAATCTTGCACTGGGCTCCTAATGTTTAGTTCTATCCTTATATAGTAACATTTCTAAATTTTACGAATGTGGACCTGTTGAGTTATGGATGTATATCCCCTCTCCCCCTCCTTCCCCTCCCTCCCTCCCCCCTCTCTGCAGGCACTATTCGTGCAGTTTCAACACAGCAGTCTGCCACCAGATGACCCATGATGCCACTGGCGTTGGATGACCGTATAAAGCCTGCCTGCACGAACATGCGCTTATTGAAGTAGTCCAAGTCGTGCGACATGGCCCCGACAATATCATCGTGGTTCCGCCGCAAGGCGTACATCTCGGGAACCTCAGTCATGCTTTGTTGTTGTGCTTGTACACACCCATTTTTTCCGCATGCGCACCATAAACGACCTAACATCACCTCTTTTCGACATCACTTTGCGTCTGTGCGTATTATTCCCCTTCTTAACTTTACTCATTCCGTACTAAACTTTTTTTACATTTTTTTCAGATTATGAACACACCCTATGATCCAGTGGATAAGTTTGGATTCACATAGCTACCAGGTGTAGCCCCATCTTGAGCCTAGCCCCACGGCAGACCTGTGGGATGAGGCTCCGATCCACACACCTTGCCACAGAACCACTGGACCTGTAGCCACAATCTTCAAAACTCTTGTTCATATATTACTTCCAGTGTGTAATCGACAACGCAATGCTACACGTAAAATAACGGATTTTCCATGGTCAGGATAAAGCTCAGAAAAAGGCTAAGGCTCTTAGGCTAGAACTTCGTATGGTTCTGTGGTCGACAATTAACTCGACATAAAAGATAAGTATACAGAAAACATCCAATAGCAGGGCTGCAAAAAGTAAGAATCAGTTGCAAAGACACCGTTATTCCAATACCAGCATCGAGACGAGGCTCTACGTTTACTTCAAGAAGGCATTGTGCTGTATTGACTGGGGGTTTTGGCTAAAGGCAAAGAAAGACATTATACAGAAGTTGAATGTGTTTCAGCTGTAGCTACACACTGGCGTTGAGAGATTTCCACCAGCTGAATAATATTTCCTTCTGAGATATGGTAAACTAATATTAAACTTTGCCTCATGCTCTTGTGAAACCAGTTCATTAGCCATTGGCATCAGTTTCTTTCATAAACCATGATTTGTGTCTTCATGGATTATTATAGGAGAAAATAATTGAGGGAAGTGTGTAGTAATGATGAAATTTGCATCTACATACATAGTATTTTAAGCAGAGAGTCAATTTTTTTATGTAAAACATATGCAGTGTAATAACTATGTGCTTGTAACAGTGCTAGAATGTCTACTTTTCACTTTGGCTGGTGCTGCAGTAGATACTGTACCACATCATTGTGGTTGTAGGCTCTGGCCATACTCAGAGCAGTGTCTCCATCCTGTAGAGACAAATAGACATCCATTAGACGTGTGTCAGATTGACAGATTAATATGCATGAAGACACCTCCCATTACTATGATTGGCAAACAGAAGAGAACAGTTCAGTAGTACCCAGCCCCCTATAGTGATTTTTCATGAACAGTGCCACACCTCTTTATTTTGTGCAATGGTAAATTACTGTGCTTTCGTAAAGACAATGTGCATTTGTCTTGATAAAAACTACAGAACATTTGATTAAACACTGCCTGCTGAGCTGACCCGTAGCTAGAGAACAGAGTGTCGTTGGTTAAAGTCCCACCTGGGATAGATCTCTTTCCTTTGAAAAAAGTCCTAGAATAGGTTTGACACACACTTGTGTCTATGTACACCCTGTGGTTCATGAGGACACTCATCATAGTGTCTCTGTGGTCTAACTTATTAGGAATGTCTCTGGCCCCAGCTCCTAGCAGTAGTTTCACCACCTCTGAGTGACCTTTCCATCCTGCAACGAGCAAGGCTGTGCCTCCACTCTGTGTTGATATTATAATACAGACCATCAAAGCTAATACGAAGCATTATGAAAGAGACAGGCATTGGTTCATTATCTAGTGTAACACTATTAAACTAGTTTGTTGCAAAAAAGCGACTGTGGCACACTTCCTGAGTAGTTGTTGTCTGGGCTGCCTTTGTGACCAAATCTGTTGTTTTGGAAGGATTTGTCAAAAAATCACTCAGACCCTGACTTCCCACATGACTTCAACCACACAAAACTGGCACTTGTGTGCATGCCGTGTGCAGAGATGCACGTCGGAAAAAGTGTGTTGATTTTGACAACCAAAAACCTCTCAACCTTGTTCTGGTGGTTGACATTGGCTCCTGCCTCCAACAGTCTCCGAACTGTCTCAGTATGTCCCTCCTGGGCAGCTATCCCCAGAGGAACATCACCATCCTGATGAAAGAGAGAAACTGTGAATTGTTGAGTCAGCACTGGCAGGTCAGTGAGGACCAGACACCTCAGAGTGTGGTTTCAGAGGATCAGGGAATGAGACACGACACTAACCAATACTCAGACAATACAATGTGTCAGAACACAGACGTGCAAATGGAGCTATAAAAAAGAGTAAGAATGCTGCGTTCTCAGGAAAACCAAGAGAAAAAAGTGTAAATTCTGTATGAAGGGTGAGTATGGGATGTAGTAATGTTACAGGATAGGGAATGAGACACGACACTAACAAACACACAGACATACAATGCATCAGAACATGGTAGCTATGGCTTTTCACTTTCGTAAAAGTGCTGCATTCTCACGAAAACCAAGAAAAAAAAGTAAGTTCTGTATGAAGGGTGAGTATGGGATGTAGTGTTTCCTAAAATGTTAGCTACACTGTGTATTATACCTAGCTGATAGTAGAGTGAGACAACGGGAAACTAGACCATTATTGTGGGATCAGACACATACATGTACACATAAATTCCTGCATGCACATATGTATTATGCAAATTGCATCGCAGGTTTACACATGTTTTAGTGACATGTGTTGCACTAACAAAAGTGCTTGACAGCTTTGTTGTACATACCAATCTCAGTGTTGAGGTCTAGTCAGAGCTCTTGGCTACACCACTGCCACCATGGTTGGTGGACAAATGAGCTGACTAGCTCTAGAACAACTGTGTATCATACCTTGGTGGTGGCCTGGTGGACATCAGCACCAGCCTCTAGCAGAATGTCCACTACATCAGAGTGTCCTTCTTGACTGGCCATATAGAGTGGACTGGCACCATTCTGTACAGTGAGAGAGTAGGGAGTGGGGTTTACTTCCAGTCTGGAACATGTAATTACGTACCAACAGTGTTTGCTGACATGCATGGCTATTTGTTAGCCATTGCCTAGAAATCAATGCACTAATTTCAGACAACTGGAGGGTGTGGAAAGTAAGCCCATGATAAAAGGGGATCACCAGTTATCAAAGTTGTTACATTCCCTTGACTGGGATGCATTATTCAGTTCTGAAGCATGTGCAGATATCATGTTACATCCAAGGCCGCCTTGTATGAAACTTCCCACATTTTTATGGCTAGCCTCAGCCTCACTACTCCATTGACAACCCGACAGCGCTGAGTACACAATCTGCATGAGGCTAGTAGTAAATTATTATGGCTCTGGTTTCAGCCATTGCAAAATAATCCCACAATTACTCACTAGGTTATTTATTTTACACTGTATATTATGGCTTCAAAGTTTTATTCCACAGCAATCGACAGGAGTATTTTAGGTCAACAGATGAGACATGAGAGTGTCCGAAACAACTAGTTTGCAGTTTTACTTAACCAGCTACAGAGAGTGTAACAACTGTACAATACCTTATTACAGACACTGATGTCAGCTCCATTCTCTATCAGCAGTTGAACTACAGCTGTATGACCATTCCCGGAGGCATAGCAGACTGGAGTCGCACCACTCTGTAGAGAACATACAACAGAACACTGGACATGGGACATGGTGTGAGGTGAGAACAGAAATAGTCAGTCCAATTGATAACAATATAACATGAATGTGGGGAGTTAATGCAAGAGTTATACATAAGCGCGACATGCGAAGGTTGCATATTTTAACTCCATTTCGTCCATTTCAAGTTAAGTAAAACTTTACAGTATATGTGTGAGCCCGGAGCCCGGTCCATTAACTGAAATATCTATTCCCTGGGAAACTATCAGTTGTTGTGGAAGGATTTGTCAAACAATCACTCAGACCTTGACTTCCTGCATGACATCAACCACACAAAACTGGCACTTGTGTGCATGCCGTGTGCAGAGATGCACGTAGGAAAAAGTATGTTGATTTTGACAACCAAAAACCTCAACCTTGTTCTGGTGGTTGACGTTGGCTCCTGCCTCCAACAGTCTCTGAACTGTCTCAGTGTGTCCATTCTGGGCAGCTATCCCCAGAGGAACATCACCATCCTGATGAGAGAGAAACTGTGAATTGTGAAGTTCATTTGATGTGTTCAGCATGGCAGGTCAGTGAGGACCAGACACCTCAGAGTGTGGTTTCAGAGGATCAGGGAATGAGACACGACACTAACCAATACTCAGACAATACAATGTGTCAGAACACAGACGTGCAAATGAAGCTATCAAAAAGAGTAAGAATGCTGCATTCTCAGGAAAACCGAAAGAAAAAAGTGTAAATCCTGCATGAAGGGTGAGTATGGGATGTAGTAATGTTACAGGATAGGGAATGAGACACGACACTAACAAACACACAGACATACAATGCATCAGAACATGGTAGCTATGGCTTTTCACTTTCGTAAAAGTGCTGCGTTCTCACGAAAACCAAGAGAAAAAAGTAAGTTCCGTATGAAGGGTGAGTATGGGATGTAGTGTTTCCTAAAATGATACACTGTGTATTATACCTAGCTGATAGTAGAGTGAGACAACGGGAAACTAGACCATTATTGTGGGATCAGATACATACATGTACACATAAATTCCTGCATGCACATGTGTATTATGCAAATTGCATCGCAGGTTTACACACGTTTTAGTGACATGTGTTGCACTAACAAAAGTGCTTGACAGCTTTGTTGTACATACCAATCTCAGTGTTGAGGTCTAGTCAGAGCTCTTGGCTACACCACTGCCACCATGGTTGGTGGACAAATGAGCTGACTAGCTCTAGAACAACTGTGTATCATACCTCGGTGGTGGCCTGGTGGACATCAGCACCAGCCTCTAGCAGAATGTCCACTACATCAGAGTGTCCCTCTTGACCATCCCTATATCTTTGTCTCATATGAAACTTTGCCTATGAACAATAAAACAAAGATATAGGGATGGTGTCATGTGGCTTTGTCAACTTTGCTGTGTAATGAACCCTGTTTCTTCTCCTTTTGTGCTGTCAAGCCATCCCTATATCCCCCTTTCATTTTGAAGAAATGATTTTTCCACTTGTATATATATGGCTTGAAAGTTTTAGTCCACAACAATCGACAGGAGTATTTTAGGTCAACAGATGAGACATGAGAGTGTCCGAAACAACTAGTTTGCAGTTTTACTTAACCAGCTACAGAGAGTGTAACAACTGTACAATACCTTATCACAGATACTGATGTCAGCTCCATTCTCTATCAGCAGTTGAACTACAGCTGTATGACCATTCCAGGAGGCAGACCAGACTGGAGTCTGACCACTCTGTAGAGAACATACAACAGAACACGGGACATGGGACATGGTGTGAGGTGAGAACAGAAATTGTCAGTCCAATTTATAACAATATTAACATGAATGTGGGGAGTTAATGTGAGAGTTACACACAAGTACGACACGCGAAGATTGCATATTTTAACTCCATTTCGTCCATTTCAAGTTAAGTAAAACTTTACAGTATGTGTGACAGTAGCTTCCTTGTTTTCATTACATACTGTATGAAAAGCTGGATTCAAAAGTAGGCTCACTTGGCTCACCAATTATGAGCCTATCTCTATAGACTACTGCACGTGAGCCTGGGAACATGGCTATCCATAACCTTGTTCTGGCGGTTGACGTTGGCTCCTGCCTCCAACAGTCTCTGAACTGTCTCAGTATGTCCATTCTGGGCAGCTATCCCCAGAGGAACACTGCATGGTTCCTGCATGGAAAGAGAAGTGGTCAATTGAATGGCCACATTTATGCAAACAAACAAATCAATACACGTTGACTGTAAAATAATGCTCCATTTTCTACCTACTACACAGGGTTTTCACTAGCCACAAGGAGGATCAGGGTCTTACGTACTGCAAGATGACGACATTTTGTTTTTCATGGACTTTAGTTGAACCTACAAGGGAGGCAGGTGGGTAGGAGGTGCTGGAGGACCACCAATAGGAGGGCTGGTCCCCCAATCTTCTTGACAAGCTTGCTTTTACTACTATTGTACCACTGCATCATAATTACAAGAAACACTGTTGACAACATTTTACCTACTAGATGATTTGGTACCATAAGGAAATAGTATTATTGTCATGTGTGCATGTATAGTGCAGACATGAATTGTATGTTTTCACTTGAATACAAACACAACTTTCCTCACATACCTTGGTTGTGCCTGATGTACATCAGCTCCTGCTTTCACCAGAACATCCACCACCTCAGTGTGTCCATTACAACTGGCAACATAGAGTGGACTGAGACCATCCTGTACAGTGAGACAGAACTAATGAGACATTCCTGATTCACTACTGACTCATCTCCCTCCCTGGACACCAGGAGACCTGACAACCATCTCTGTCAGGTCTCCTCCTCATCCAACCTTCACAAGTCTATAGTCTACACTTCTCACTATAGGCTAAGACTGTATAATACTGAGAGGTCTCTGACTATCATGGTATAGAATATATACCTCACTGCAGATGCTGACATCAGCTCCATTCTCTAGTAGCAGCTCCACTACTGCTCTGTGACCATAGAATGAAGCCATGTACAGTGGAGTCTTGCGACACTGTGTATATACAGACAATTGGAACAGGCAACAATACAATAGAACATGACATGGACTCCAACCTTGTCAGGAATGAAGACTGCAGCAGCCTTGAG